ACGCCACCGCTGGCGTTCCCTCCCCGGGGTACCAGCGGGTGCGCCGCCGCCTCCTACAATGCCGCCGGGCCCTCCTTATCAACGGAGGGCCCGGCGCGGGGGAAATAGAAGGCGCCTGGTCGGGCGGAAAAGACGCGTCGCAAGGCGCGACCCCCCCCCCGTGACAAGAAGTCAGACCAGGCGCCTCCGGGAGGGGGGCAGGGCGGCCAGGACGCAAGGGCGGACTCTTAGGCCGCTCACCCCCCTCCCAGAGCCAAGCGGCTTCTGACCGAGAGAGGAGGAGGGGAACTTTTAGACCCTTCCGCTCCAGCAACCTTGATCGGGAGCCTAGGGGCAAACCAGGTCCGGACGGAACCGGACCTGGCCAATAGCGCCCCTACAGGTGAGGTGTGACCGGACGGGGGAGCCCACGTCCGATCATGAAGGATTGGAACAACGGGCCGGGAGAAAATTATCCCTCCTAGCCCGGGAAGGGGGCGGAATTTAGGTTTTTCCCCGCCCTGCAGCTGAGGGCGTCCCAGAAGTAATGCGCAAGCGGTTCCCGGAACCCCCTCGCAATGGCCTCAAGGGGCCCGGCAGAGGTTTTAGTGGGTAGGCCCCCCACCCGGCCGTTAGTTCCGGGGGGGGGAGAGTCCCACATTACCCTTGGGAAAGTCCCGTCTTTCCCGGGGGTGTGCGTAATGCATTTCCTCTGCCTTAAAAAAAAAAAAGGTTTATTAAATACGTTTGAATTATAATTATTGTTTAAATTGATTTTTACTAAAACCATTGCAATTTGTATTTCGTTACGAACATTTCAAAATGTCCTAATATACAAAATAAACAGCTATTAATTCTATTACAACTTATTTGTCTCGCACAGCGTAGCATAGACACCTTCATGGTAATATTAATCGATGACTTTGACAGCTCAAGTTGAAATATGCAAATTTTTACTTGAATTATTTTTAATATGTCTGTAGTTTTTATATCTTTTATTTGTAAAAAAATATATTAATATGCAATACATAGAGAAGCGAGAACATATTGCAAATTTATATAACAATAATATCGTAAAATGAGCGCCCCATTAATAGGAGCACTTTTTGCATTTGTCATTTTTCA